GTGGACATTGAGAAGCTGCGGCCCAGTGACCAGGGGGAATACGTGTGTTCTGCCTCCAATGCCCTGGGCTCTGCCTCTGCCTCCACCTACTTTGGAAACAGAGGTGAGGGAGGGCTCTATTTCCCAGGCCTCCCTACACAAGGCCTGGCTCTCAGGTCCCAGGGCTTCCCTCCGAGGTTTTCCCTGAATCGCTGCAGCTTGTCTGTCTAGTCTACATTGGTTGCTTGAAGCTCCTTTGCATGGGGAAGCTCCTGAGATAAAGTGAAAGTTAGAAAAGGTTTCACCTTGGGAAAGTCACTTGGAAGGGAGCTTTGGAGGCCTGGAGCCATAGCTGCCCCCTGACCTCTCCCCTGTGTTCCAGCCCTGCACCGCCTGCATCTGTTCCAGAACCTACTCTGCTTCCTGGGGTTGCTGGCTGGCCTCCTCTTCCTTCTGTTGGTCCTGGGAGCCTTCTACGCCTGGAGGTGGGTACAGAGCTGGAGGGTGGATGGGGCAGCCTCAGCCTTCTCTGTTTTCCCCTAACATTCCTCCATGTCCTTCCTACCAAATTCACAGGCTCCATACTTTCTAGCCTGCCCTCCTCCCTACCCACGTTCCGAATTTGGGTATCCTTTCTAGAATTATCTCTAAATCCACCTTGCTGTAGTTTTCTTCGTTCCTTATCTCTACCCTGTCTGTGCTGAAGAAAGGGCTGGGAGGGAAGAAAGATAAGGTACCCCACCCCCCACAATGCTCCCCACTACTTGGTGCAGTGAGCAGTCTGGGGACAAGCATGTGGGGCGGGGGCAGGAATGGGGACAGGCCGGGGGAGGAGAGGCTCTCTGAGTTCACTCTTGCCCTTGCAGAAGGAGATCTTTTCATAAGCTGAGCGTGGGTGCGAATTCGGTGGAGATGGCGTCTCAGAAGGACACGGTGCAGGTATCTAACCACCATGTGGGCGCACACAGACATAAGGCCCGGCTACCCCACAGTGCAGGGCTGGCCCCTAGAGACTGCTCTCATCCATAGGCTGGTGTGTGGGGCTGGGGGCCGATGGGGGAGAGAATATAGAGATCCAGGGCCCCTTGAGGAGGTAGGGGGAGCCATATTCTGATCAGGGCAGAGAGAAGCCATGTGTTTGCTGGCTGGATGACTGGGGCAGACACTCTGAACTTAGCAGCGACACCTCCACTTCCAAGACACATCTTGGAACGCCACCTGTGTTTTGGCATCTCTCTGCCCATCACCTGGGCAAGAGTGAAAAACTGTTTCTCCTTCCCCTTGATGTGTCCCCTTCTGCAGATAATCCATTTGGTGGGGCAGGGCTTCTAGCCATGCACATTCTCACCAATCCCCTTGAGACCCCCTACCCAAGGCTTGGGGTGTGGGGGACTGCCCTCCAGGGTTAGGGATCAGGTGATGACATCTCCCAGAGTCCTCCTGTGACCAGGGTTTTCTCTATGGGAAACTCATGGATCCTGATGCAGCCACATTTGGAACTTCATCCTGTGCTCCAACCCTAAGCTGACCATGTGGCATTGCCTGCCCTTAGGAGGAGGAGTCCAATGGAATCTGTGATGAGTTGGTCCTGGTAAACAAGACTTCATTGGCTCCTGACTGCAGCTATGAAAACAACGCTGTGACGTCTAACGTTCTATGACCGGATTCCAAACCTCTTGCCCCGCAAGAAAAATAGGTGGTGAGAGGAGGGGGTGAACCCTAATATATCCAGGAGGGTGTTGACCTCAGGGGATACTGAAGAAAAAGGAGTTGATCATGTTGTACACTTCTTCTCTTTTCTCTGGATCTCGTCTCTCCATTTATCTTCCAATATACTTCCTCCTCACATCTTTCTTGTCCAAGACCATTCTGGACTGTTTGGATGGATTAGAAGAGGAGCTTTCTACATCCGCACACTGTACTAGCACTCTGTACTAGCTAGATTATAAGTTAAGCTGCTCTAACTAGAGACCAAATACAGTAACTTCAACTTGAAAAAATTTTATTTTTCTCTCCCATACTAGTCTGGGTATGTTATGGTGGTTTAAATTGCTGGTACTCTGGGTCCTTCTAGCTTATCTTGATTGTGAGGGTTCACAATGACCACATTGTGTTCACATTCCCTCCAACAAGAAGAGTGGAAGTTGAAGGTATACCATTCCCATTGTGGACATAACCGGAGGTTGCACGTGTCATATCCACTCACTTCTCATTGGCTAGAGTTTAGTCACATGGCCACTCGAGGCTGCAAGGGATTCTGGGAAATATAGTTTTTTATTCTATTTCCAACAATAGATTCATCCCTGAGACTTTTGACATTGATGAGAATGCTGCCAGCAGGGCACATTCTATCTCAGTGCCAATCTGCTGAAGGGCATGCCCTGGTCATGGGCTTCCTGGAGGAGGCAGTCCTTCTCAAACATTAAGACTGAGGAAATCAAGAAGGTTTGATGGTCCCTAGGGAGAGGGCATGCCAGGCAGTGGGGTTGCCTGAGCAGACATCTTGTGCCAGATCTGGTCCCTGGAAGAAGAGATGCCCCCATCCGCTTCCCCACCCTTAGGGAGCCGACACGATGTCATCAGCATCCTTCTTTTTGCTCCAGGTACATTCCTCTACATGATCCAGTGAGTTCACGTTTGGAGGCTCGTGCCAGGGGCTGTTAAGATGAATGAGGGTCACCAAGAAGGAATAACATGCTCCCAGGAAGTCAGTACCTGAGGGGAGCCAGTTCTTGGGTAGGCTAGTGACTCTCCTGATAGCCCAGTGTCAGATGGTGGGAAGAACAAAGAGCCCACTGCTCTGGGCTTTGGGTTGAGAAACATGGGGAGTAATGGGACATTAGCACGGACCTAACAGGTTGGGAAGAAATGGGAGGGCTAGTGAGCTCCATTAGCAGTGGTTGGGACCCTTCTTGGTCCAAGGTCCATTCTTTTTAGTGCCTCATGGCTAGACCCTTCCTTGGGAGCCTGTCTGGCATTTCCTTCCAATAAACCTCCATTCTACAACGTAATTACAGTGAGTCTTTTTCTTGCACCTTCGTGTGGGAGGCAACCAATTGATGTGTCTTTCTCACATTGATGTTTCTCTCTCTGTGTCTCTTCCCCTCCCTCTCTCTAAAAAAAGCAATGAAAAAATATCCTCCGGTGAAGATTAACAAAAACACACAAAAACACAATAGAATGGATAAATGAATTGTGCTATGTTCACTCAGTGGAACATTATACAGCAGGTAGGAGCTACAACTACACATGTTTAGCATAATATTGAATGAAAGGAGTCAGACGCT